CAGAAAAGTGGTTGAGTATTGGTAAAGTCTGTGGGTAATAATAAGTAAAGCATAAATTTTGCCTATATGTACTAGCAGTAAATGCAGTCCATGGAGTTGAATCATCCTCCATGTTCTGCTAAAAGTAATAATAAGTTAAAGTGGTACATTTTTGATAATGAACTGTTTACTCTGATATCCAGTGTAAAATATATATGGTCATTCCTTGTCATGATAAAGGGCTTATTTGTCCCAGTGATCCCAAGAACAAAGCTGTCTGGGGTCCAACTACTCTTGGGTCAACTATGGTGTTAAAGTTGAAGAGGAAGGACCAGACAACGTGACCAACCCCTGCAGACCCAACAGCCAAATAGGCAAAGATCTACATGATCTGAATGACCAAACTGGCAGAAGAGGTCAGCACCAGTTGGTTTGGCGTAAACAAGGTGAAACTTGACAGATCAAGCATCCAACAGCCTGATGCAACCAGGCTTGCCAGATCTCGCCTATCACAATCCACTTTGGGCCTCAAGGGAGCTGCTTTTGGCCAAGTGTGTGGGCTTTTTCGTCACGCAGTATTGTCCACCAAAAACAAATTCATGTGAATGACCTTGTCAAACTCTCTTTAATTCACAGCCATCTCCACCACCGCCAACAGGAGTGAGAAAGGGAATAGGGAGAGAGGACAACAATCCCAATGTTCGGATTCGAGCAGGTGCTGACAGCTGAAACAGATTTTTTTTCTTAAGCACTACTACTTTGTGGAACAGGCTCCACTATATTTGTTTCCCAGAGTACATGATCTCTTTAGGTCAAATTTCAGTCTGTCAGTCATCATTCCTCCTGTTGTTCTTCCTAGCTTCTCTTCCATTCATATCACACACCTCATTCTACATTACTATTTTGTTGACTGTAGTCTTTTACATTGAGTGGCTCACGAACCTTGTATTTTATTGAACTTTTCATAAAAAAAGAAAAATATTAAATTACAGCAGTAATTATTGCTTCTTTTTTTTCCATTTCCACTAGAATTTGTTGTGTCAATAAATATATAATCATTAGCAAGAATAAGAATTTTGATGTATTTGTTTAATCAATCCTGCCTGAGATATAATTGATTATATAAACTGCTAATCTCTGAATTAACATAACTTCTTAGGAAAGATAATGGACTGGATTCCCATCATTTTTTCCACAATTTAAAATTCAGAGTTCTTCTGTTTTCTGGTTACTGCTCAAGTTTACAGAATCCAGTTTATGCTGCTATTTAATCCATATCTGGGGAAATAAAAGAGATGGATTACTACCTTTCTCAAATGCAGCAGACGTGGCTGAAATTTGTACTCAGGTTGTTGATTCCACTTTCTATGTCAGTAATTATTATGCTACTTGCTTTTCCCCAGTTTAATTATATATATTAATTAAAGTACATATATAATTAAATACATTTTCTCTTGTAATGGTTAATATATTCTTAATAGTATTTCATGTAAGTATATTTAATTTGAAATATATGGAAGATGTGATCTACAAATCTACATATCAACCTAATACCAAATAACAAAATGGGAAAACTCCTAAGTGACAAACTTTCTCAAAACAACTTCTTCAGACTAATAATGTTTTATTGATGGAGTCAATCATATATATATATATATATATATATATATATTTTGTCTGGAAAAATGAAGTCAAAATGATTACAATTGAAAGAAATGAGGAAAAAGATATATATATATATATATATATATATATATATATATATATATATATATATTATAAATGATTTAAAATATGTTTTTTTCCGCTACACAGTTCTAACCATGTTTCAAAAATAGAAGCTAAAAGCCCCGAATTTAATTTTGCAATTAAATTAAAAGCATTAGTTCCATTTCATCCTCAAGCGAATTTTGGAGTAACGTTTAAAAAATTACTGGGTTTTAAAGACACAGCTAAAATCACGTTTCCATGGTTACAGAATAGTCTACTTCAATTGGACAAGGGATGTCTAGGTTTTCCTTATGACAGTATCATTGTATCAGTTATTAGCTACAATTTGGTAAGGGGTAGGGATGTATTTTTCAATGAAAATTGACATCCATTGAATGCATGTCTGGATTTTTTTTTTTAAATTATTGTTAACGGTAAAAAAATTCTTACAGCATTTTTTTTTCCATTTATAAATTTAAAGATTTTCGGGGGTGTTCAGATCATAATACTTTTTATTTAACTACGATTTGAAATATTCTCATTTTTAATTTTTATTATACTATATTCTTTTTAAGAACAGTTAAATGTATTAGAATCCACTATATTATGTAGGATTATTTTAACATCAAGTTTAAGTTTGTATATGAGGTGTCATTTTTTCTTTTTTTTTTTATGAAAAATTTATGATTGACGGCAAAAATGGTTACTTAATTTCACTGATTTAGTAAACTTTTATTTTATATATAAACCTAGTAATATATTGTTTCTCATGTAAGTACAAAGGACATGGGTCATTCAAAAGCTTACATCT